AGCATTCGGTGATTTTCTTGTCACAGTTCTGGTTGTTTTAAACTTTTTATTTTCGCCTTATCTTACTTGAATTGCATGTTTTTTCTATTTTTCCATTTTGAGGAGTGGCTTAGAGAGAAAAATAGCGCTCTGTGACACATTATATTTTAGGAAAAAGTTGATTTTCCAAAACCTAACAAGAGTGAAGCACACTTATACATGTAAACAGATCTATTTAATCCAGAAGATGGAGTCAAACTGAGGTCAATAGGTCAGAAGGGGTGCATCTATGTGACAAACATGACCACTCTTAATACCACTGGGTGGCGCTGTGAGAATAACACAATACACACTGTGTTCACCAATTCATATATGTATCCAAAGTTTTATAAGTTTTCAGACTTATTGCATAAACTCCTGGTGGAATATCTCTGATTACTTTGTAACTCACAATCTGCATCTGCAAAAATGATGTTGGGATTCTTCCCTCCCAGCTCCAGCGTTATTCTCTTCAGGTTACTCTTCCCCGCCGCCTCTTGGATCAGCTTGCCAACCTGGCGGAGAGAACAGATCCAGGGTTTGCTAAGAGAGATAGGCCTGCAGCCAGATCGGTAAATCAGCCCGAGCCATTAAATATCTTAAAGAAGCTGCTTAGCTCCAAACAAGGAATGCAGCAGTTGGCCAGCTGCATGAAACATGAGTTCTGCAAACACACAGAATGAATATCTATTACGGGTTTTTTGGAGACAGCGGCAGGAAAACAAAATGATGTTTCAGCCTGGAACACCATCTGATATGTAGCGAGGAGCAGGAAGAGGCAACCACAAGGTGTGTGGGTGGTGTGGGACGTTTTGTTTGCAGTGAAACGGGTCCAGTGTTCTGATATGAAAAAACCCAGTGGGGATTTGCCTGTGGCTTTTCTCTTATCTTCCTATTATTCCTATTTCCTCTCTGGCCGTTATTGTCACAGATGATATCATAAAACCAAAACTGGAGAACAATAAATAAAGCATTTGAGATCCACATTCCTTGTGAATACTTGAGGGAAAACCCTCTTTGGTCAGGAAAATCTACCGTGTAATTCATTTTCAAACGGCATGTTTTAGTTTTACAAGCACAAATCACCTTATTTTACAGTCTCACCGATTTCTGATCCAGGCTGTGTGTTTTCACATACTTTAACTTGAGGTTTGTTGATTTATTGTTGCAGATATAACTTAGGACTTTGTAATTTATTCATCCAAGGCTTAGCATGGAGCAACTAAAGCAGAGTTTAAAGGGTTCACATAATGGAAACGTTAAATAAAAACTCCAAAAAAAAAAAAAAAACCTAAACTGAGGCAGATTTTAACCCCTTTCGGATTTTCGTCAAAAAATATGCACATCTTTGCAAAGAGCAGTGTTTCTGCTATTTGGAAAGTTTGTAAATCACTGCTTTAGATGAGTGGACTGATAATTTCCCGTAGTGATGGAGTGAGAGCGGACAGATAAGAAGCCTGTGAAATCCCCCCACAGCTCCCTCACAATCCTACACCCTGAGCAAGTATTCGTCTTTCCTCTTACTCACACACCCTGTTTTATTTTCCAAGGGAACTGACAAGATCAAGTGGAAAATTACCCTCTAAGTGTCCAACCTAAAATACCCCGCCTCCAGCATGGAAAAGGCTCATCTTCTCTCAGTATCTCCCTGCCTGAACTGATGAAGATAAGCGCGGCGTCGACGCCTGCCTCTCGAGCTGAATAAAAACAACGCAACACTCCGCTTGGCTCTGGAGTTTATGATCTAATTTGTCCGTCTTTGATCAGAAACTCGAAGCGGCTGACTCAGTGGATGTTCACGTGTGCTTTTTCCAGGGTAAAAGAAAACATGCTGGGAATTCAGAGTAACACGGTGGTGTGAGTCAGGGAGATTTTTCCCCCTAAAATCCACCTGTAGCTGTTCAGACTCTTAGGGATGCTCACGTCTCTCACTGCTGCTGGTGACTCACTGTCTGGGCATCAGACGCCTCCGACAGCAGCGGCTCTCTCACTCTAATTGACTCCAGATAATGCAGAATAAATAACAGGGAAACGAGTAAAAATAAACTGGAGACGTATAATCAGGACGGGATTTATGTTTCTGTTTGTGTTGTTTTATATTTACTCAGACACAGCATGAACACAACTGTTGATGTAAAAATGCAAGTTAATATGTGGTAAAAATCTGAAAGGATTATTTTAGTCATATTTCTGTATTGATGATTTCATTTTGGTTAGTTTTGTGAAAATAACACGACTCAACCAAAACTAAAGACAACTGAATAGCTGCTTTGTAACCGAGCATTAGGTTGTTTTTGTTTTGTTTTTTAGATAAAATAGATAAATAAAAATCAGAATAAAAATGACAGTAGTAAAAGATTATCCAGAACTTAATTAAAAATGACAACAGCCAAACAACAAAACCATATTGTATGTTTATAAGTCTGTTTCGTTGCCCTTTGAAGTTGATTAACTGTATCAGATGTGCAGCGTGGGACAAAGTACTCGACTCTAGTATTTGAGTAAAAGTATTGATACTCATGGTCTAATGTTGAGCAGTCACAAGTAAAAGTTGTTCGATCACAAGTTTACTCAAGTTAAAGTACTGAAGGACTTATTTTTGAAAATACTTAAAGTATTCAAAGGTAAAAATGACCTTTTCCAATATCAGTACATTGCTGTATTGTTTTCTGAGTGTTTTTACAGACCGGAGTAACAGACTGATGTTTTCACCAGGTAATTCCAGTCACAGGTATGAGTGTCGACTGTGTGGCAGGTTAATGACTGATTAAAGTGTTTGAACTTGAAGTATTTAATGATTAAAGATGGCAACTCAAAAATCAATGTTGGTGTAAATAATAGCTACTGTCTGCTGTGAGAACAAAGGAACAACCTGCTTTCAAAGAGAAGCTAGAGAGACAATTACTAAACTTTCTCAGTTTAAACACTGCATGCAGCTAAACTCTCTGTACTGATCTGTTGTTCCGCCAAAACGACCCATCGGTGGCCATCTTGTTCTCTTTGAGTCACTTTGTTTCTTTTAATTCCTTTTTTACATTTTTTTAACTTTTCAAGAAGCTTGAAAATTGACAAAAGCTAATAAATTAGGTTTTATCATGGCACAAAATGTATTCATCTGTGTGTGAATGTGTGAATGACTGAATGTTGTGTGAAGCACTTTGGGGTCCAATGGACCTTTGGACTTTTTACCGTTTAGACAAAACAAGGACTAACTAAGCAGCAATTGCTTTGAAAACAAATGAGGAAAATTACGGTAGTCTTTCAAAATAATTGAATAAAGCTTTATTTACTCTTTCATTGGGTCAAAAAAAACTTTATCAAATGTGTTTTGGTGACACCTTAGAATCTAAGGTGTCAAACTCGAGGTCCGTGGGCCAAATCCGGCCTGCTGCAGCTTTTTATGTGGCCCTCTAGACTCTATTGGGACACATAAATAAAACCGTCAAGATAACAGTGTGTTTAAATATTGTGGAGTCATTGCCCCAAAACTGTTGCAAAAACAACTCAAATGTCACAGCAATGATCCAATCATTGGGTTACTTAAATTCAATCTACACTCTGCACAAGTTTTGTCTGCACTGATGAAGATTCACTGACCTTTGCATGCCAAGTAATTGAAGCGGCTCCACCTGATGCATGACCTTCTTTCTGATCGTTTGGCTAATACGACGTTAACTCAGAGACTCAGAATAACAACGCTAAATGTTCCAACTTTGTGGCGTCACGATAAAATTAAGATATCAGGCCTAATGCAGTCCTTCATCCCATTATGAAAACACACAACACAGGCACGCATCAAAACCAACAAATACTTCATGGACACAACAGGACTTTGTGTTCCAGAACATTTTATTCTACTTAGACCAAAGTGACACATGTTTTCCATGTGCCAACATACATGGCAAGATATAAATAATGTTCATAGTGGGAACAGATGTCTTGGGCTCCATTGAAGGAATCATCAGACGAGTTATTAGATTATCCAAAGAAACCAAAGCAGCAAGAAATGGATGCGTCTCAATTTTATCAGGTAATGAATAGCAAAGAACTCTGTATTTATGAAATCAGATCCAGGTCAGTTCGCCACACGTGTCCCCATTTTAGACTTACACATTGCTTTTCTGTCATTTCCTGCTTCTATTTTTCAGAAATTATGGGAAAAAGTTGTAATAAAAAAATCCTCAAATCTCGCTTGTAACTTCAAAAATATTGACTGAAACCAGCACAGGTCATTCTGTAAGGCAGGACAGATACCTGAAAATTACAGTCAGATGGACAAAAATATAAAGTTAAGTGGAAATGTTGGTATTTTAAGCATGGAAATGACAATAATTTATTTAGGTAACAAAAAAAACAAAACAAAAAAAAACAGGTAATTTTTTATTTTTCCAAAATTAGTTTCTTTCAATAAGAACAAAACTTTAACAAAAACCTCATGTGTGTCTGTTTTTGGCGACAAGCTGCTTTAAGATGTGAAGAGATTGAGCTTTTTCTGTTTTCACCCCAAATGTTGGAACGTGTTGCTGTTCAATATTAGACTGGCATCTTCACTTCCTGTTTTTAAAAACACATTTTTTTCTATGGGGTTTGGCCCAATGTGAGTTGGTAAGTTTATTTTATTGTCTTTGTTTGACTTTATGTGTATTTTAAAATGTGAATGTTTTTTAAAAGTCTTGACTTTGATTCCTTGATTTGCACTTTTGTTTTTAAATATGCTTTGTGAATAAATTAGATTTTGATTTGTTGATGAACAGCTGAAACCTTCTTTGTTCCTCGTCCACAAATGGGAAATTAACTTATAGAATCAAACGAAATAGAATTAATAGAAATTGAAGTGATGATATTTTCTTTTCTCTCGTCGTCTTTTCATTATAAAGTGAAAAGTCAATGAACGTGGTTAATTCCCAAATGGAACTGGTCTTAAACATTTTCAATCAAAAATAACTCTTCTATGGTCATATTTGTGTAAAGAAATCTGTGAATTTTGATCCCTTGAACGTGATTTTCTACTTGCTCTTAGTTTAGGAGCCACAAGAAAATCTCGACAGGATGCAATAATTCAAACTCAGGAACACGTTATTGATCCCAAAGGGAGATTAAATGTTGTTTTAACTCATTAATCCAAAGTCTTCAATGCAAACTTAATGACCTTCAGCGTGGACGCTGTTTGGGTCAGTAACTTAAATAAAACTTTAACTGCAGAGAGGTTTTCAACATTTATCTGTCTCTGGTCGGCTGAATTTCAGTTTCACTGCCTATGTGGCTCCAGACAGTGAAGTATTATGTCTGAGCCTGCGGGAGCTTATCAGATGCTGCTTACAGCAACAACATAAATGAGTCACAGGAAGCTTTGTTCACTTTCCAGAGAGACTTGTTAAAAACATCTTGTTATATATTCTGCTTTTGCTTTGCTGCGAATGGTTGGAACAGAGGAGGTAAATGACAGATGTTTATAAATGATCTGCAGAGGTTATTTGGTGTCTCTCTGCTGTCTGCCGCAGGAATGCGTTCAGACCACAACACTCAACACCTAAAATGGTATGTGTCCTTTTACTTTGTTTTAGCCGCTTCCCGGTTCTGCAAGGCAAGCTGAGCTTTATGCGCTTTAGATCCGGCTAGATAAAGGAGAAAGATGTTAACATGAAAGAGACCGGAGCGTAGAAATATGTTTGCATTCTTATCTAAACGCAAATGCAATAACAGATATTTACGTAGAAGGACATATAGGACACTTTTTCTCACAAAATCAGACACGACGTTTCCTGTTATGGATGCAAAGTTATTATTGTGCATGAAATGCCGGAGTTTTTAAATAGCTTTTTTTATTGTCTTCTTCATGTTCAGAAGCTGACTTAGAGTAATTCACAACATTGACACCTACGGATGAATTTTATTGCAACCTCCTCAACACTTCCTTGTGTGACATGAGAAAATCTAAAGGAAACTGCAAAGATATCAGAAAGACCTTTTGTCCGTGTTACATTCATAGCCATGTAATTAAATACATGCATAAACAAAAATGAAAATCCACAATTATCATAGGATTCAGAAAACAGACGAGTTCTGTGTCCCACAGATGTTTTGGTTTAAATGTGTGTATCAATCAAATAACAAAAGCAGAGACATTTTTGTAGATGCTGACTGAAGTTCTTGTAAGAGAGAGTCATTGTAGTTTGAGAAATAAGAAGTGAAATGGACTGAAAGAACGACCCCACTACCTCAAAAACAACAGAAGAACCCTGATTGAGGTTTGCAAATGTACTCATTGACAAAGAAGTACAATTTTTGGAGAGTTTTCTTGAAGGAAAGGCCATAATGGCCATTATTACATTAGTAGAAGACAGAAGGAAGCTCCCAATCCTGGGAATACGGCTCCAAATGCAAAGTAGGGAGTGGCAGCATCATGTTGTGTTGCTATACTGGAGCTCTTCACAAAATATATGCAGTTATTAGGAAAAACACATATTCAGAACTCCTGAAGCAAAACCTTCAGTAGTTGCACAAATGGGTCTTCCAAATGGACTAAAGTCACATCGCCAAATAAACAGTCAATATTGTAATCAGGGTTTCCCTCAGAGTGTCATAAGCCTGGCGGGCCACCAGGCTTTACTTGAGTCCCCACCAGGCTAAGCGTCATTTGTTTATGTATTAGACTCCTTAGCAGCATTAAAGAGTCTTTTATGTGAAATGGTTGGAATCACATGGTCACTATGTGATCACTTAAAGAGACGTTAATTTTACCGGTCTACACAACAACAGACCGCTTCAGCAAATAAAGCGGCACTTAAGTTAGGACGAAACAACTGAAGTGCAAAACATGTGTATTTATTTATGTTTGTCTTTTTTTATTTTAAAGTTGATTGTTCATGTATTGTTAATAATGTCTTACAATAGCACATATTTACCGAGTCATGTTCTCAAATTTCCTGTCAACTTTAAACATTTATAACTCTAGACACAGTGGCTGCTGGATGTCGGCCCTAGCCCTCCTACCACTGGGCAAAGCAAGTTATCTGGGGGAAACCCTGTTGGCGTAACCATCACAAAGCCTCTGTCTTAGTCCCACAGAAACATTTAAGGCAGGGGTCACCAACTCCAGTCCTCGAGGGCTACCATCGTGCAACTTTTAGATTCACCTCTGCTCCAAAATGTCTGAATTCCCTCACCAGCATTCATTCCTCTCTGCAATAGGCTGGAAACGAGCAGTTTATTTGATCCAGGTGTGTTTGAGCAGAGACACATCTAAAAGTTACAGGATGGTAGCCCTCGAGGACTGGAGTTGGTGACCCCTGCTTTAAGGTGTGTGTGATCAAGGTGGCCTGCACACCTGACTCAGCGATAGCAGCAGTGGTAGAAGGAAGTCCAGAAAGTTTGACATTCAAGAGAAATCTTTACCAATTAAGAAGGGAATGTGTGTGAAATTCTGACTTCCAGGAAAGTTTTTAAAAATGTTCAAAACAGCTCTCTCTCTTTCTCACTCTGATTATTCTTGTATTTAGAAAAAAAAAAAGAAATACAATCTTTCTTCCTAACTATCCAAAAGTGGAAAACGTTTAGTCTGACAGCAGGAAGAACAACGTTAAGTGACTTTTTACACAGCGTATGTACATATATCTGGTCTTAACTATACGTGCATGTGTGGTAGATAAAATCAAAGCCTTGTCACGGGAATTAATGACAGGCCATGCAACTTATGTAAGCCCCCATTTGTTTGTTATTAAGACTGTGCACACAACATCCCCTAATTACCCGGCCTGCTCCTTATGCTCTGCACATGTTGGTCACTGTGTCACTTGTTCTCCATGACAAAAGCAAGCAGCAGCTGCAGACCTGACAAACACGTACCTCGGTTGATCCCGTGAAAGCCACTTTGTCTATGCCCATGTGCGAAGCAATCGCAGCTCCTGCTGTTGGACCGTATCCTGGCAAAATATTGATGACTCCCGGTGGAAACCCGGCCTGTCAAAACAATATGAGAGGAAACAAGCTTTAGCGGAGATGACAGCAGAGCCAAGCAAAACTGCAGGCGGCGTGGGGGGAATCCGGACCCGGCCCAACCTGCCCGTGACTAGAAAACAGGGGGAGCATCACAGACAAGAGGGCCACAGACAGATAGTCTCCAGAAAGAGGCGCAGCCTTGGAGGACACACGGGAAACGAGAGCGGATGTGGACACTTACATTTGCACATAACTGAGTGGGACTGGATCGTAATGTGAGCCTCCATTGTTCATGTGCTGTTTAACTTACACACGTGTTTATTTCTATTCTGTCCAGACGGCTCAGAAGATTGAATCTGAAGAGCAGGGAAATATCTGCACAGCTGCACTCTGCAGCCCGTTCACCACACACTACTGGTTTGAAATGAAAAACACATTTGTTAGTGTTCTTAATCATTCTTTCTGTTGACTCGACTCTCTTAGCAGAACTGAGGGTATTACAATGAGATAACACTTTAGATCTTTTATTTGGTGTGTCAGCGCTTTCGTGTGAACTGTCAGCATTTATATTATGCCAGACTTCAGGTTAAATCTGTGAAATAACAAGCGGGTCTCCAAGTTCATTTCCTTTTAAGCTAAGTAATCAACTCTCTTTGCAATTAAAGAGAGGCGATTATTCAGACCTCCATAGTTTTATTTTGCTTCCCAACTTTCTAATCTTCTGTATAAATCTGTAGTTCTCCAGACCTTTTGGAAGTGTTTGGACGTTTTTGTTTGGACATTGTCTCTTACTTTACCTTGTTTTCCGTCCCATTTCTGAATAATCGTCATATAAATGTTTGCCAAGTCAGTTAACTCTGACTTATTCAGACATTTAAAGACTCCTCAAGTTGATAGATAAACAATTGTTGTGCCTACAAATACAACAACAACTTGGCAAAGATATTTAATTAAATTTGACTCTTTATTTTTTGCAGCCTGTTTGTGATATGCCAACTATAGATAGAACCATTCAGTTTGCTGCACATTCAGTAGATGATCAACTAAAGGAGGATAATCTTTGCAGTACTTGTTCAGTTCATCTACTGTTTAAAGTTTTAAGTCTAATCTCCTCTTTCTAATTAACTTTTAAACTCTGTAGAGAATATTGTTATTGTTAGAATGACTGACAGGAAGTAAAAAGACGAAGCAGCTAAAATCTGACAAAATGTTTTGACACGACTTTAAGAGAGCGTCGAAAGCTTTAAGTAAACTTGAATCAAATGATTACAAGAAAGTTACGCTGCTTGGAGGTAAATATTAAATAAACTTGGAATGGATCAATACTTTTTCACAGTATTTATATGAGAATATAACTATTTCTCCTGCTTTTGAAAATATTCATTTGAGCAAACAGCCACTTATAGTTCAAAAACCCTAATGCAGAACAACTTTAGCAGAGTTTTTGAGTCTCCACAATCTGTAAGCCTAAATTAGAAATTTACTGAGAGATATTTCACTGCCATCTATCCTGTTCTTAACGTTCAAAATGTATAAAACTAGTGACTCTAAGCAAATCTGTTACAAGAGCCTTAGTGATGGAGATATAGCAATCTACCCTTGTAGTATTCTTTACACGCCTCAATAACTGTTCCTTGGTCACCTTTTTCTTCCTTCCACTAAACTTTGTATTAAAATCCTTGAATTCCCAGACTACTCTGCACCAGTACAGCACGCTTAAATACACCAATATCTGCACAGACATGTAAAAAATTACATAAATTTGTGCAGTCAGTGCAATTAGGAGTACAACAGCTAGTGTCAAAACAGACAATAAAGAAACAGAAACTGACAAGAACAATAAATCGACTGTGTAAAAATAAACTACAACAAACCTCATTTCAAATGGTCAATTAGGAACTGTAAATATGCTGTCAAATAAATTATAAATCATGAATTAGACCGAGTAGATCTGCCCTTATGGATCGGGCAAGTTATAACAATACCCAATGTATAATTTTTTTCAATAATGGGACAGCCATCGTAGTGAGAATACAGCAGTTAAACAAGCTTAAACCAAATCTGCTCGAGTTCCGATTCGTTGCTAGGTAACAGGGCTGGGGTGCCTAGGGTTGCTAGGTTACGGGGCACTGCCCGTACAATGTGACTTAACAAACAGGAGCTTTTAGAAAACGGCTTGTTTTCCTGACACCAAAGAAACATTAATGTAGCTTTGTTGTTATTGTTGTTTTTTAAGTTTTTTGGAATGTTTTCAGAAACAGTTGAGACCAAAGTAGAAAAAACAAAAACAAGCAAAATGTGAGTTTTACACGTAATACATCTGTAAGATTTACCTCCTTGGTGAGAGCCGCTATGTAGAGGCAGGTGAGGGGCGTCTGCTCGGCCGGTTTTAGGACGACGGTGTTTCCACAGGCGACTGCCGGGGCCAGCTTCCACGCCGTCATCATCAGAGGGAAGTTCCACTGCACACACACACACGCACACATACGCACACACACACACACACGCACACACACGCACACACACGCACACGCACGCACACACGGGAAAAATCATGCAACTGACACACTGGGTGGTCACAAGTCAAGTTCAATAACTCATCGCTCTTAAGTCACTTACTCTCATTTTCATTCTGTCTAAACATAGTCAAGTGAGAAAATGTTCTAGGCACTGGTACAGTGTTTTCTCTTCCCACAGCATTCTGAGAAAGTCGGGAAATTGCAACACATGTGCAACGGAGCCGTATCGCTGTACGACACGCAGGCCTGTGTTATTTCTGCCTTACGGAGGAGCCCATGGGGCTGGGGGGCAGAACCACAGGCTTTCTGCTCTCTTGCACAATCAGCAGTGTCTCTTTCTCCTTCATCTTCTCCTTTCTCATCACTCTCTCTCCCAACACGTGAAATCCCTTCTCTTCTCACTTCTCATTTATCATTACTCAACCTCACTGGCACAGTCATCGTGCGGGGAGCAGGGGGGCTCGCTGAGTGGGTTTAACCCAAATAAACAATGACTGTCAGGGAATTACTGGAAAATCAGAACGTAATCCAATAAACCATCCAGTTTCTCTTTCATACTGAGCCAGCTCTTTCTTATCTGCCTCTTTTCCCTTTTTTGTTTTTGTTGTGTGTGTCACTTGAAGAAAGGCTTATACTCACGGGGATAATTTGTCCACAAACTCCTATGGGCTCATATCTGGTGAACGTCAGATACTCTCCATCTGTGAAGGAAAACGGGTGCATACGTTTTCAGGGAAATCTGCGTTTCTAATTCCAAACGTTTGCTGAAAAGTAACTCAAACTCATGTTAAACATTCACCACCCGACACCGCCGCTGTTGTCGACTCAACATGCTAATTTGTAAATGAATCCACGCTGAGCATTCCTGCTTCCTTTACCCTGGTGAGAGATTACGTTTCGAGGCCTCTGGGTGTGTGGGTGTGGGTGTGGGTGTGTGGGTGTGTGTGTGGGTGTGTGT